TGGCGATCAAAATGTTTAATCTGTGTACAATAAACCTAAAGAGAAAACAAAACATGTGCTCCAGAGAGGAAACGTTATTTCACTACAGTAGGAAACACCAGCATGAAGGCCTCTGTGATTTCTTGAGTTGTGTTACCACACAGTTGTCAGTTCGCATTAGAGTAATCCTTAACTTCAATACATGGTTTTATGAAGTCTGGGGAGTATCTTATAAAGTCAAAAGAAAAAACAAGAATATTTTGGCAAGGAATAACTGACAAATTTGTTCCAGTGGATAGTAAATCATATCACCAACTTATGGTTTAGGAAGAGAACACAAAAATATAACATACTTAGACAAGATCACAGAAATCTGAATGACTGCTCATCTCACTGGTTAGAACAGGTCTCTACTTGAAATCCCAAACACAAAATTTGCAGTTTTAAAGTGAAACATAAAACCCATCAAATATTTCTAAGATTTAAAAAAATACTCTGATGTAGGTGGGTTTTCTGTCGGTGTTATTTTCATTGGTTAATAAAGAGACTGCCTTGGCCCTTTGATAGGACAGAAAATTAGGTAGGCAGAGTAAACAGAACAGAATGCTGGGAAGAGGGCAACGAGGCAGACACCATGGAGTCAGCCACCAGGTCAGACATGCTGAATCTTTCCCGGTAAGCCACCATCTCATGGTGCTACACAGATTATTAGAAATGGATTAATCAAGATGTAAGAGTTAGCCAGTAACTAACTCTCTAGAGATAACGAGCCAGGCAGTGTTTAAATGAATACAATTTGTGTGTTGTTATTTCCGGGGCTATGCTAGCCGTGCGGGAGCCAGGCGGGACGAAAAGCAGGCTTGCCCGAAAATACTCTGGCCAGGAGAGACAGAAAGGAAACTTGTTCTGACCAAAATACAACTTCCCAATAAATACAAGAAATTGACTGGTTGCATAAAAATTTTAGATTCCTACACAACATCACGAAGTTAAAAAATAGAAAATAATGTAAGACAAAGAACCACATTTACATCAGAATTCCTAAAAAAAGAAACAATCAAAAACTCAAAGCACAATTCAAAAATTGGGGGTGGGGGGTGCAAATAGTAACTGGTATCTAGGTTCTACTTCACTGAAGAATCCATGGAATGTTTAGTTATAACGCCCACAGAACACCTCATGCTACAGGACAGAGATGGAAACAGGTTTCTCATGCTATATGTAAGAATGTATATTGATACTGTGGTTGATAATATGACATATTTTGTAAAAAAAAATAGTGATTCTATTTCTTGGCATAATTCTCATGAATACACAAACAACAAAATGCATAAAATATTTTCACTATAATTTTGCAACAAAAATAAGGATGTCATTGGATGAATTTTATGTATCAATGTAATGGAATATTTTGAAAGTCACCCTGAGTGGGAAAGAGATACACAAACAGAACTTAGTCTTGAATTCCGTTAAAACACACCTAGTTGGCATGTGCCAACTATTAACAATCCAAAGTAATTGAGGCCATGTTTGTGAATACTCATTGAATAATCCAGAGTATCTTGGTAAAGTCAACTACATTGGTCACTCTGAAAAATACATTATCATGGAAGACATAGTGAATAAGAGAAAGAAAATTTTCGAAGAAAATATGTCCCTATAGCTCTACCTATGTTTTAAAATAACCATTCACAGGTAAATATTAACATGTATGAAGTTAGGTCATGGAGAAAAGTGTGGGAGAAGTTTAAATATTCAGCAGCAGTGTTGTCTAGGGGAAGGGACTGGGATCTTTGAGGATGGGGGGGATGAAAAACAGATTTGCACAATTGATATTTCTGTAAGACTGTACTTTATATTTTATATGGCGAGTATCCTTGTGTATGAAACGTACAAGGAAAATAGACCATCATAAAATGGTAAGACACAGTTTAGTGTTGCAACCTTGTATGTTTCATAAATAAAGATCACTTCTGTCAGATGTTCATTTATGAAGAAGACACACTGGTAGATTTAAGTGCTCTTTGCTTTCAGACAAAACATCTTTTCTGATTTCCTGAATACATGCAAGGCCCCTCCAAACATCTCTGTAGGAAAACAATTCCCTCTCAAGAAAAGTGTCTCTTCACACTTCCAGGGTTCATTTTCCTGAATAACTTGTATCTGAAGAGAAAGCTCTCAGGGATTGATGCAGGCACTGCCACCAAAGTAACTACTCATCACTGTGAGCTAGCATACATGGGTAGGAATCATTTTTTTTCCATAGTTTCTCAAAGAAAACCATCAGTGAAAAGGTCAGCACAAGCAAACTCTCAGAAAAAGAGTCACACTCACTATAAAGATTCAACAACACTGACTGATGGATCAGAATTTGATTGTTGGAATGCCAATGATAGTCCCCTTAACAGACTTTCACTGCCACTTCAGTGATAGACCTAATACTCCTGTGTTCACGTGGTCAAAGTTCTTATAATGCATTAACATGGCAGACAAGTTGCTTCCACCAACTGAAAAGGTATGAACACCATCACATAGCACGGAGCACGTACATTAGAGAAGTCTGCACTTTGCCGGAGTCTATCTACTTCATGATTCCACCAGTGTGTCTGAGAATGTGTCTCAATTTAAGATTTTCTTTTGTTTTAACCTTGTGTCTATACTGGAACATGTCATTTGAGTCTATACTGCTTCTGAGCTGTGGACATCCATATTTGACTCAAGAATAAACTGTCTTTATCTTCTTTGAGGAGAGAGTGGTTTTTAATGTTGACATCAGGCTCTTCCTTAAAGTTAGGCTGGCCTTCGGGGAACATGAGGCACATGTCACCAGGCTGGTTGTGAGAGCTAAGTAATGAGATCAAGTAGAAATAAATAAATTTAAAGATGTTATTGTTTGAATAAGAGCAGGGCCACCATAAACTCACAGATTCCATAGTAACCAAGAAACATATATATACTTTTCATTTCTTTTGTAAAATAAACCCAAAAATATGCACACAAACAGTGGAAGACAGTATTTATGATAGGAGAGTCACAACAAAAAGTTAACTTTCTAGAGTTTTAACTCTACCTCTAGATGCACCTTTAAAAGAATACAGAATATGACTGATTTCATGTCCAACTCAAGTTCTGATTCTCCTATATTTTATAGATTTGGCTTTATATTTAGAAGAAAACATTGGTGACTAATGTTTTTCACTGCTTGATTTGAATGAGGAAAAAACTGCAACGCTAACTGGTTGCTTACTTCGTAAGAGCCAACACTGCTCATCTGTTTATAAGGTGTTTTCCCATCAAGTTTGCTTTGACTAAAGGTTTTGACTAGTTTTTAATGTCACCCTTCATCTGCTCAGGATTATTCCTGTTACTAAACTTACTATAATAGAATTAATTATTTTCCGAGTACTTTATCTCATACCGTCCCAGCTGAGCCATCCTGAGCCCCTCTGCTTCACTGTCAGTTCCAGTCATGCAAGATATCACACCTTCCTTTTGGTTTCATGCAGTGTCTTATAGTATACATGTACCAGTTATATTTTAACTAAAGCCCACATATGATCTGAACCAAATAACTTTTTCTAACTCAAGCTTCTATAAAGTCATCTTGAAAATACAAATAGTTTCATATGAACTGATTTTCCTGACAACACTGAAATTATAATCAATTAAGCTTATTCTAAAGACTACTAATAACATCCTAAGAAAAATTAGCACAACAGAGTCTGGACACCCACAGATTAACGTAGCATTTAGCAGTTCTGGTAAAGGTCTCCACAGACATTTCATGCTATTTCCCTCTTTTATTTATTTGCTAAAGGCTGTACTTCTTGTGAAACAGAGCTCTGGAAAGATGACACATTCCATGTCACAGAGGACAACAAAGCAGGGGTCACTGCCACTGGTGGTGCATGGCAGGTGCTCCCCACCCCTGCCTGCCTCACCCATGCTAACAGCAGACTGACTGCATGGGGAGTAAAGGAACAGAAACAAAGGTATCTTCACAGAACCATTCCTTTGCAGTTCCCCACCAAATTAAGTGCTGGATGTATTCAGACAATATTCAGGGTGAAGATCCAGGATTATGTTTTAAGGAAAACAGACTAATCGAGGCAAATCTCAGATGCAAGGTGAGAACCCAATACACTCTCTAAACAACAGAAAAAAATGGTAGCAAAATAAACTAAAACAGTAAACAAAGAACAAAACACTATAACTGAGAATAAAAGAATTCAAGTATTTGTTTTAATCTTTCTCAAACATCAAGCAAAAATATTAACCCAGGTGTAGACACAAGATGATAAGTGTTGAACTTGCACATGGGCTACTGCACAGACTCCAAGAGAAATGCTAAAGTCACCACAAATGTAGCATGAGGATCCAATACTTGTTTTCACTGTTTTAAACTGGAACATACACCACCTGTTTCTCAATGAGGGAATGCTAAAATTTAGACTTTTTCATATGAAAAGCAAGAGTAAACTGCAGGGCTCAAAGAAGAGCAGATGTCCACAACAATCTACCAAGACACTCAAGGTCTTTACTTTTCATTCACATAAAAATGCCTATTGTTTACAATAAACCTGTGGGTCAGTACGCTGCATCCACAACCAGTCTCTAACTGCAGCTCTGCGGAAGGACCAGCACAGCAGTGACTTCCCGCCTCATAGTAGCCGTCCTGTTTCTCACTAACGCACACATTAAGTCTGACTCATCACTCACATATTTCTGAGGAATACATGAACATGTTAAAAATTATGTGCCATTACAAAATGGAAAATGATGCTTTGAAAAATTAATACAGATGGAATAGATTTAAAAAATTTATTCACTTCAATTTTCACAATGGGGTCTCTTGTAGGCCAGGCTGGACTCGAACTCACTGTGTAGCCAAGGATGACTTTAACTTCTGGTCCTCTTGTTCCAGACTCTCGGGTGCATGGGTCACAATTGTGCACTGCAACAGCGGGGCAGATTTTCAGAAGATAGTTCAGGTGATGTTAAGTGTCTTCACAAACACGTACCTGACACAGAAGGCCTTTCTGAGGCAGAGAAGAAACTCCTTCATACACAGGGGGCGGCTTATGTGTAGGTGGAAGGTCAATTCTGTATTCAAAATATTAAATAGAAGTGTGTGAGGGGGTTCCAGGAGGAAAAACAAAAAAAACAAGGTTCTCACAAATCTGAAGGGTGTTTTCTTTATACTATATTACATAATTATTCTACTCTGCATGCTTAATTAAGTTATATTCTGTCAATGTGTCAGGAAATAAAAAGTTATCACTACTTCCAATACTTGAACAGCAAACTAACCTATTCACATTAAAGAAACAATTCAAATAGAAACACTGAAAATTATTATTAAACAAGTATCGTGCATGAGCCACCTGCTTAAGTTTGGCATAGTTTCCCCTCTGATTACAATGACAAACATTTTAAAAATAGTATTTTTAAAAGATTTTTATTTATGTATATGTGTATATGTCTATATGTCTGTCACATGTATGCTGATGCCCACAGAGGCCAGAAAAGGGGTCAGATCCATGCAGTCAGAATTACTGGTAGTTGTGAGCCTCCAGAAGTGGGTGCTTAGACCCAAAATCAAAGTCTCTCCTGAAGCAACAAACACTCTTAAGTCATTAAGCCATCTCTCCAACCCCAATGTGTCATTATTATGTTTCTCCAAATGGTCATAGAAGTGACATGGAAGACTGACAAAAGCTTATAGTTTGGAACTGCTTTCCAAGATGGATTTTCAAAAGGGCCACCTTGGGGCTAGAGAATGCTCAACAGTTAGCACTGCCTGTTCTCCCAAAGGACCCAGGATAAGTTTCTGGCACCCACATGATGATCACAATCACCTGAAAGCCTAGTTCCCGGGGATCTGATATCTTGTCTGAACTCCATGGGCATCAGGGAGAGCATGATAGAGACATACATGTAGGCAAAACAAACAGGCACAGAAAACAAAACTCAAATATTTTGGAAGGAGTTTATCTATTTTTAGAATATTTATCCCGTAAGTTAAGTTTTTTTCAGGTACAATTCACTATAAATGATGCTATCTGAAATAGACAAAGGGCCACGATTTGCTTAAAGAACATATTTTTGATGATCGCATCTATAAAATTCCCTAATATTCACATATGTTAAATGTCAGATATTTTAAAACATATTTATGAGTCTATAAATATATGTTTTATAGAAAATAATCTTTCGTATATTTCAATGACTTGAAGATTAGATATGTATTTCTAATACTTTTGATTAGCAAATAAAATAAAAAGTAATCTATTTAATAGATAAATGAAATCTTTAGATGCTTAATAATAAATGTGGCATATCGATTCATTTCTCAATATGGGAGTAAAGTAGCATTTTCCACCAAAAATAATTCAATAAGTACATAAAACAGTTTACTATAAAAGAACTCCAATTTTACAATTATCAAATTAAAGCATAATTTTACCATATTTTACTCATAAGCAGTAACTTTTCTTTAATGAAATTGCAACAAACTTATAGCAGCATTTAAGTAAGAAACCCAGAGCTATGGGAGCAGTGACCTTCAGCTCATGGTGACTGTTAGCATCAGGCATTATGCCGGCTGCCCTGTCACCTGGCAGGATGCACTTGCCAATATTCAGGCAGTCCTCTGACATACACAGGCCCTGACACCTGACAATGTCAGTAGCTACATCGCTGCAGTTACGTCATCTTTGGCAGCAATGACTACATTATGACAGGATCTACAATCCAAAAGACTAGTGCAGTGACTGCCAGACTGAAGAAGTGGGGTCCCACCCCAAAGCACTTGAAAGGAATATAATTGAATGCCAGCCTCATGCCCTCATGCAGCAACAGACTGCACAGGAAGCTCCACTACTCATTTCATAAACTAAAATCATTCTGGTCCCAACACAACCATGTGAAATATGGAAAGTATCATACAGTTAGAGATAATGACAAGATTAAAATGAAATATGTTAGTCATTACATTCTTCAACAAGATACAATACTTATAATCTCAGTGATTAGGCAAAAAATTTATTTAAATGAAAAGATGCTTATTTTATAATTAAAAGAAACAAAACTTTTTATTCTTAAGCAAAAAGCTTTAAAATGAGAGTTCAAAAATAATTCTTGGTAGTTTAGTTATATCTATATATAAGACAGACATATAATCAATTAAACCTAAGATGTTTCTAATACTGAAATCAGCAGTTAGTACAGGTCTGAATTTTATTCAGGTTGGACAACATAAGTTATCAATACAATGTATTTGGAAAGATGTCTAATGGTGCAGGATAATTCTGTATTCTGTCAATTGTTTTAAATAAACACTGATTGGCCAGTAGCCAGGCAGGAAAATTAGACAGGAAGTGTAGAGGTGGGGTAATGACAACAGAGTATTCTGGGAAGGAGGAAGCTCTTTCTCCAGTCCTGTCCAGACACTGAAGAAGCAGGATATGACCTGCCCCACTGAAAAAGGTACTGAGCCATGTGGCTTACATAATAAGAATAAGGGGTTAATATACATTACAAGAGTTAATAAGAAGCCTGAGCTAATGGGCCAATCAGTTTATAATTAATATAGACCTCTGTGTAATTTTCTTTGGAGGTTACTGGCTGTGGGAACTGGGAGGACAGAAACTCCAACAAGCAGGCCCTCATGTTACAGTCTAATGCCTGTGTATGAGAAGCTGCTCAACATGTTTGCTTTCAGCAGTCCTGTGAAGACTCTCATTTATTAGGACACAGCTTAAGATGTTCTGACAAAATCAAATCAGCAAGGGTCCAACACTATCCTTATTTCCATCTGTTGAACACTGAATATAGGTAACACAAATGTGGACATAAAGGCTAATTGATAATGGAAGCTCACATCTGAACACAAGTAGAAAACGTTACCTACACTTTGTCAAGATACGAAGGTCTCTTCTTCCGTGGTGTTAGCAACACGGTCACAAAGACGGCGATGATGAAGAGGGCCAGGACAGCTCCAATCACAGCTCCAGCTACTGCTATGGATGAGGTCTGCTTAAGTGGGTTGTCTGTTAAATAATAAAAAATTAAGACTTTTCAAAAATATTTTAAAAGTTGCATGCTTTAACTTTTACAGTGCTCAATGACCACTGGAACTATTTATTTACCCAGCAATTAGAGTACCACAAATTTAATCCATCCATTTTAGAAGCATTATGTTAATACCGTTCTTTTTTTCCTTAAAGCCCCACAACCTTGTTTAGCTCAAACTATGGAAAGAATATCTCCAATAAAGAATTACTGAATAAATCTATTTTCTACAGTCAAATGATGTCTAAAGAAAAGATAAAAAAGATGAAGATAATGTTAAGTTCTCATTCATACAGGCGATAAAAAAAATCAGTTGACTGGTAATACACACACTTACCATTTTATTCTGTTAAAGTGAAAGAGAAACACTATTAAAAATAGGACTATATTCAACAACAAAAAACAAAAAACATACCACAGATGTAGTATAAAAAGTTACAGTGCATACTTTAAAAACTTTTAAAAATGTTTTAAAATAGAGAATTTCAAAAACAGTAGACATGCCAACAAAAACAGTTCTTTCCTATGTTTCAACATATTTTTATTCAATGTTTATATAAGTTCTGAGTACTAATTAGTTTCTCAGGCTGAAGGACACATTTTGTTAAGAAGTTAATATAGCAGCATCTCACACAAAATTTTAAAAGACAATACCATTCACAAACTCACAAATGGAACCACTGCAATTCAAATGTATTGACTAATATTACCTGTTTAACTTTGTTAATTCTAGCCATATGAAATCCAACAGTCCAATTTTGTGAAGTGACTCATAAGTTATAAAGTTTTGGGTTGTTTGGGTTTTTTTTGTTTTGAGATTGTGCACCATGCCCCTCCCCCCCCAGGCTATTCTGGCAGTTGCCATATAGCCAAGGGTAACTATGAACTCATGATACTAAGTGTGAAGCCTTGGAAGTGGGGGTTGCAGGCATCTGCCATGATGCCCAGTTTATGTGCTGCCAGGGAACCAAGCCAGTTTTGTGCCTGGTTAAGAATATACTCCACCAAATGAACCACACCCTCAACCCATAAATTTGATTTTGTTTTACTTTTCTAACCAATAATGTTGACAGTGGGAAATGCCACTTTAAAAAGGATGACTAGACTCTAACTCAGCCTGGCCATAGTCACCCAGCCAATAAGCAGTAGAGTACAAAAGCCAAAGCCAGGTCAAAGTCCAAGTCTCCAGCCAGTGCTTGTGCTCCAGTTTGGGGGCTGGAGTGAGAGGCGTCAGTGAAACAGTCTTACCCTTTTCCTCCCTATGGGAAATCAAAAACTGTTTTCATTTAAATGATTTAGTCACATGTCTTACATCCTCGCAATTAGTTTTCAGATCAGACATGGCAAATTGAAATGGAATTGAAGCACTAGAATGTTTAAAATGTGGTTTGGAGCTGGGCATGGTGGCATATACCTTTAATTGCAGCACTAGGGAGACAGCCACAGATGTATGTCTATGAGTTCAATACAAATCTTGTGCACATGGGGTTTTACATGGCTGAAAAGTTTTTACTTTCTAAAGTTTTCTTTAGCAAATTAATAAGACAGTTTACTAGTGGGTCATTTCATTAGCTTCATTTTAGACTCAAATGCAAGTCATTCACTTGAATAAACTGTCAATCAATGAATAAAATCTAGAAAGAGTGGGCACAGCATGCAGTTACGGTCAAGCCACAACTTTCAATTTTAATACAACTGAGATTATCAGTCTAATCACTAGCACATTTGTCAGAGCAGTCAAGAGGATTTAGTGCTTGTAAATGTGAGCGAGAATAGCATGATTTCACACAACCACTTTCTTCAACATATAAATTCTATTTTCAATCACTGCACCAAACTATGATGTGGTGGTTTAGTGCTAGGCCAACTGAAATCCATATTAAGGACCTGACCAAGCAAGGTCAACCACCTAATAACAGTGCCCAATTGTCAAATTTGCTATTTATTATACAGTAGCTCTTGTAAATGTCTTTAATCCAATCTCCCATCTGATAAGGGTTAAATGTCCCTAACACTCCGCCCAAGTACTCAGAATTTAAATTTGTGAGCTTTATAATGATGTTCACAGTACAGAACAGTAGTACCTCCAAACTGTTTCTCAACAAACAGGTTACTCTTGAGTATGAGTGCAAACTAAGATTTTCAACCCACAGAAATAGTTCACTTCACACAGGCAAGCTGATGCTACCTGTGGATGTGAAGTTTCACATTTCCTTTCCTGATTCTTCTATCAATTATGGAAAAGAAAAGAACACAGCATATTTAAGGATAGTCCAGGACTTTAAATAGGTACGTTGTTGAGTGTCAGAATGAAATACAAAGACGTAAAATCTTTTAAATTCAAATTGAAGTAGTTTGATGAAAATTTGAAAATTTGCTCCAATAGTAATACTGTTGTCTCAGATAAACACACACACACACACTACAACAGCTCTTCATACTGCACAAGTGCAAAAGCTCAGTGAGGAAGTGAAACCTGGCATTTTAAATCTTAAGTCAGTGACTTGAAGGAAGATGAGATCACCGATGGAGATGGTCTACAATGTTGAAAGTGAGAGTAAGAGGCACTTTACCATGAGAAGGTGGTATATGAATCTCTATGAACTACTGATTGCTGTCATCACAGCACTTACAGCAATCACCTCACAGTCACTGGATACTCACCCTCCCACCCAAAAGGAAAAATGACAATCCCCCATACACCAAAAATATATCACTTGTAATTATAGATACCAAGTGTACATCTTCTAAGAAAAATATTCAAAAACAAGTTTATCAGTCAACCAACCAATGTATTCTGAACTTTCCAGAAAACATGCATAGTAAATAGTATAGATAGAAAATACAATTAGTTTTGTTTTTATTACCAATCTTATACTTACTCTCATTCTATACAAACAGTCATTACCACTTTCCCCATAAATAATCCTTGCGCATGACAAGCATGTGATCCACTTCGGAGCTACACTGCCACCCTTCCGTCTCCATTTTCAACACCTCCTTTATGCTGTCAATTTGACAGCTTAGCTTGTAGTCATGTAAAATTTATCTCACCTTTTTTTTCCCCCTGTAAGCACCATATTTAGCTCAGGTCATTTTCAGTTGTTCATTTAATAAATTACCAGGCATCTACGTAAACCACTGCACCACCGCTAGGAATACAAGAGTGAAACGGGCATAATCCTGATCCTCACAAGAAAGGGAAAGAGTCCCAATGTGAGGTTACAAATTCACACAATGCAGTCTAACCACATTACACAAATAGAACTTATATTTAAAACATATTTAATAACTCAGCGGTAGAGCTTATCTAGAATTATCAGCAAATTACCTTCTCCTCCAAGAAAAAGCACAAATGAGCAACACTGGTTAAAAACAAATGGTGTCAGCCTGATATGATCCAAGAGTCCGCTGCTCACCCGCCACTTGGGGCTGTACATGGGAAGAACAGAGTGGAACACTCCCACAACCAATGTGAATTGAGGTGGTACTTCTAGTCCTTCGGTTACATGCTCCTTCTCATATAATTAACACCGTGACACATGGGAGTTCAGCTGATTAATGGATCCTGTGTCAGGTGAGCACCCAACCAAATGAGATGACCCAAACTCATGTGTGACATACACTAGATAAGCAATCATGCCTCGCATACGCTATCTTGCGAAAGAGGTGGCATCATGAAGGTATCACCCCATTCATATAAAAGCAGTGCCAATATTTTACTCAACACATGAACTTCCACCATTAGTTAGAGTTATGAAAGTAAAACCACGACAGCCTAGTGAGCTATGATACATCAGCCAAACATACTTCAGGTATATCAAGAGACCAATTAAAATACATTTGTATTTTCTTAGTATCAATTACACTCACAATAAACCTACACAGGGTCAAAAGCACAAAGTATGTGAATTTACTGCAATTTTGTAAGACACTGAAAAATAAACATCTCGTACGTAAAGACAAGCTCTCAAACTAGAAGCTGTGACAAAATCAACTTCTCAACAATGCGCTCCTTCCAAGCCAATCAAGCTGTCTTTGAGAGCACCACATTAAGTACCAAAATATGTACTGTAGAATAAGATCTTTTTAAATTATTGAATCAAAAAGTCTAAAAACCAAGATTTTTTAAAATGAAGCACATTTAATCTTTTTTTAAATACCAATTTTTGAGAAAAGAGGTTAACTTTAAAAGTCAAGCACATTATGCATCCCAAATAGTGACAATGACATTGACATTTAAAAGCACTTATGTTATCAGAGTTAAAATGTCCTTTGGACTAATTTAAAATACATACAATTGAGTTGCTCTAGTAGCACAAATATATATGGAATACACACTAATTTTTTTAGCTCATGTTACAATCAAGAGTTTTCACTGATCTACAAAAGACAGGCAAAAACAAGAACAAAATGTAAACATACAAGATGATAGAAAAGACCATGGTTGGCATTTGTTAATTCTGCTGAAGTATCATCAATCTGTCATTTCAGATACACTTATATGGACTGGCCCTCCAGTGTGGAATAGGGGAAAAGGAAGTTTTCCATAAAGGGGAAGCATGGGCAGACTTATTTCATGTTTCAGGCACACCACATATAAACACACATTTAACATATCTGAATAGGAGTAGGCCCTCTGTTACTGTGGCTCAGCATTGAGGACCAAATGGTTGCTAGTGTCAGAGAAGAAAAGCAAGTATTATGAACCTCATGGTGGAAGAATGAATCATTTCCTATGAAGTAACCCTGTCACACAATGACATTTGAATGAAGCAAGGCTTTAGACCTTACCAACAACTTATAAACATGCAGAAGATGCATTCGGGGCGCAATGGGACAATCCACACAGGGAGACTGTAGGAAAGTGAAGCCATTGTTAGAAAACAAACAAAAGGAGGGAAGAAACTTCTGACATGTGGGCCAGAACACATGAAAAGGTATTTCAAAAATTACAATATACCGATTATAGTTGGAT